CTTCTCCATACGAAGTCAGATTCGAACGTTTTATATATCTAGGGAAATCGTATTGACGTTTCCTATATATTTATGATGATTACTTTGGCCAAAAACTAATATATTTCTACATCGAATTTTATAAACAAATGTTCATATTAAATCCTACTAAAATGTGAAAATGGGTTGTTACAAATTGGGTGTCGTACAAGATAATAACAATCTTTAAGGAGATAGATAGCTACAAAGGATAGGAAATTGGCCAAGAATTACTAGATTTCATTTACGGATAGGGTATAAAAAAGGTTATGTTTATGTCTGTGGATAACGACAAGGCAATTAATTTTTTAGTTAAGAAGTTGTCCAATCTTTATGAGTGTGGAAATCATTTCCACATAAGGTTTATAGCCCTCATATTAAACTTTATCGTCATGGAAGGGCTAAAATTCCAAAACTACTATTAGGTTGTCAAGCCCAACAAACTAAGGGGGTACAAAATACTCCAAAAGAACACTGCTATATTGCACTAAAAGATAGTACAGGGTAAGCAGGGTCACTACTATATTGCACTAAAAGATAGTACAGGGTAAGCAGGGTCGATCTACATAGACACAGGGATAACGTCTATACCTCTTTGCATAAGGTACTTTGATCACAAGAAAATGGGGGGTTTTGAATGCAATGATTAGAACAGATAATTAAAGACACAAGTAATCGACTAAATGAGTGAATTAAATTCAAAAATTGTAAGGACTCCAACTCTATGTATGACAACTAGCAATGTGATTCAAAGATTACTAAATATTTGTTCAATTCTATCTAAGTTGGTACTTGAAAGTGTTAACAAGCTCTAACACTTTCCATTTACTACATTAATTAACCAAAACAAGCTCTTTGATTAACCCTAACCTTACTAACCTAATCTAAACAAGCTCTTAGAATTAGATTGAAAGATTGCATTAAACTTTATGTGAATGTTCCCAACAACACCCAATGCTCCTCACAAGCTCGAGAGCATAAGAGTGTGTGAATAAAATTTACACTAAATTCATTAAATAGAAATCAGTTTAGTATTTGTTACTTAGTCCAATTCACAAAAAAATTACGGATTTTGCAATTAGATAACTTGAATAGCCTAACCCTAATTCAAATGGCTAATAAGAATCACAATTAGAATCAAACATTCGATTAAAGCAAAATCAAATTCACTAGATAAAAATTAAAAGCAAACATCAAGTCATATGACTGAAATCACGACTAAGAAGTCAAAACATAAGGTTAGAGAAACTAGGGTTCTAGCCACACATGACTAGAACAATCAACATGTCTAGAAAAGATGAAATAATTCACATACGAGACTTACAAATTCAAAAACAAATGTTTCCAAATGATTACAATTGAAACCTTGCAAAAACCTTCGAAAATTGCCCTTCTCCCGTGCTCTAGAAATGAAGTCTAATTCTCAAAATGCCCCAAATCTCGTAATATGAAAGATAGGGAAAACTGCCAAAAGTTAGTTTTAGGGATGAACACGCCCCATGTTAAAATAGAGTAAATCAACACGGGTCGTGTTGAGTGAAAATTAGCATGCCATCCTCGTGTTTTCTTCCAAAGTACAATGCTCAAAAATGCTCATCTGGGCCAACACGGCCTGTGTCAGAATAGGCTAAACTGACACGGGTCGTGTTCAGCATAGTCAACAGCCTCTTCTTGGTCAAACACGACCCGTATGCATTTTCCAGTACAAACTGAACACGACCCGTGTACGCTCCTGTCTCCAAGTCCAATCTTGATTTTTTCAACTTTTCCGTTTTACGTCCAATCATCCCAAAATCTTCACCCATGCTTCCCGGCACCTCCCAAAGCGCGTTCCAACCTCCGGGTTATCTAAAAAGATCATGAAAACGTGCAAATAAGGTTGTTCTAGAGACTAACATGAATTTGTTGAAATGCAAGAAAAATGAAGGACAGTTATGCTAAATAGATGCATAAAAGGGACTAAAAGATGGACAAAAAAGTGCACAAAATGCACCTACCAACTACCATGTCGAATGTGTCCAAAAAGTTGTAAGGTATATTAGACAATCGACACAAAAGATAACAAAGTTCAAAGAGACTATGAAAGATTGTGGGTTAGAAATGAAGAAGTTTTTATGTAGTAACACCCCTACCTTATGGAAATTGACTTTCGAGTTATTGAAGACTGCATACAAGCTACGAGAGACGTTTGTGGAATTTTGCATAAGATGTATTATTTTTTTTAATTGTGTTGAATATGTCATCTTCTTTAAATTTTCATAACCCATTCGTTTGAAATCGGAATGACATGATTTTTTTCCAAATGTATAGTTTAGTGTTTGTATTTCATTTTAGACTATATAAATATCTTATTTTGTTACATATTGATTGAGTTAGAGACCCACAACATGGGATATAAAAGCTAAATTTATGTTGTTTCAACATTATGATGAATCCTAATTCATGATTTATGTGTTTTTTATAGAAAAAAGTGTATGAAAAGGACCTAGGTAGAGTACCAAAGCATTTTGACTTCAGTGTGATAACATATATATATATATATATATATATATATATATATATATATATATATATATATATATATATGAGTTCCTTGAAGGTTTTATGACAAAAACGGAGATTGTTTTGGCTATATCAAAACCTTTAGTAGATCTCTTTATCCGAGAAGTCTTAGATGCGCACATGCATCTAAGAAATTGGTCAACCATAACCGGCTCTATTGAAATGGTAAATGACATGACATGAGGGCGAAATACGACAAGCATTAGGGTGCCTACAACAAGATGAATGATTTATTTACTTTGGAGTTTTGCTAGATCCTACCATGAAGTCGACTTTATTGTTACATTATTTAAAAAAATGATCAGGTACATGAATAACCCGGTCAAAGAGTTTAAAGCTCGTCAAGTTCGAGAAGTCCAGATGGGGATGGAGAAATTGTTTGACCTATTTGGAAAGATTTGACAATGGTGGGTCTTTTCAACAAGAAAGTCATCAAGAAGTCATTGCTTGTGATGATGATAGCGACTTTTTCGATAATTTTCTTAATACGTAATGTGGCAGCTCGGATCCGAAGGATAACGAGTTAAAAAGCTATTTGAAGGAGAATCAAGTAGCTTACAAACAAGATTTTGATATCCACGATTGGTATAAAGTTAACGCGATAAGGCTTCGGGTACTTGCTCAGATCGCGAAAGGTAATTACTACTTTTTTTTAGTTTTTCCTAGTTTGTTTATAAACTAAAGTGGCAACTCGGATGTGAAGGTGGCAACTTGGATCCGAAGTAGCTTATGAGATAAAGGTGGCAACTCAGATCAAAAGGATAACAAGTTAAGAAGCTATTTGAAAGAGAATCAAGTAGCTTACAAACAAGATTTTGATATCCTCGATTGGTATAAATTAACGCGATAAAGCTTCAGGTACTTGCTCGGATCGCGAAAGGTAATTACTACTTTTTTTTAGTTTTTCCTAGTTTGTTTATAAACTAAAGTGGCAACTCGGATGTGAAGGTGGCAACTTGGATCCGAAGTAGCTTATGAGATAAAGGTGGCAACTCAGATCAAAAGGATAACAAGTTAAGAAGCTATTTGAAAGAGAATCAAGTAGCTTACAAACAAGATTTTGATATCCTCGATTGGTATAAATTAACGCGATAAAGCTTCAGGTACTTGCTCGGATCGCGAAAGGTAATTACTACTTTTTTTAGTCTTTCCTAGTTTGTTTATAAATTAAAGCAACAACTCGGATCTAAAGGTGGCAACTTGGATCCGAAGTAGCTTACAAGATAAAGGTGGCAACTCGGATCCCAAGGATAACGAGTTAAGAAACTATTTGAAAGAGAATCAAATAGCTTACAAACAAGATTTTGATATCCTCGACTAGTATAAAGTTAACGTGATAAGGCTTCGGAAACTTGCTCGGATCGTGAAAGGTAATTACTACTTCTTTTTTTAGTCTTTCATAGTTTGTTTATAAATTAAAGTTGTTACAATTTGCAATTCTTTTGTTGTTAGACATATTGGCAATACAAATTTCAATCGTGGCCTTCCGAGTCCACGTTTAGTACTAATGGTAGAGTTTAAATTAGTATTAGACTAACATGTCGACATTGATAGTTGAAAGTTTGGTGTGCACCCAAGATTGGGTTAGAAAGTCTAGAAATTCGATAATATACAACGGCAACGACATCTTTAAGGACGATGATATAGCTTTGGGTTTCCTTTTTTTTTTTACAATTTCTGTTCTATTTTGATACGATCTTTTTATTAAATACTAACAATCTTTCGTTGTGTGTTTAAACAAAGTAGATGACAAAGGAATGGAGAATATCCCAACTTTTTTGTTAGTTGAATTGGTATTAAACTATAAATTATGTGTTACGATAACTATGATGTAAGTTTTATATTATTACTTTTTGTTGGTTCATTTAGTATTAAGGTTTTTCGGTTAATTTGTTGATTTGATATTATTCTGCTCAAAATATTGACTATATGACTAGTTCATTTAACTCATAGTATAATATGTACGGGTTCTAACTTCCAAACCGGGTATTCGACTGGAAACCGGGACGGCTCCGATGTAGTGATGTAGTGTTACTGGTCAGCTTAATCGGTTCCGGTTCCAAACCGGTTCCGACCCCTAAACCGTCTTGCAAGTTGCAATCTTCAATTTTGTTGAAGATTCATTCAACTAAATGACTAATACAATACATATCAATACTGGCTACTCAAAAAACAAACTTGTAGCATGATTTGAAGTAATCAATTTCAATTACCGAAAACAAGCCCTAATTCAACGATACATAAGTGGAAAAATCAAAATTTCTCATAAAACATTCATAAAATTGATCAAACTGATCCTGTTTTGCGAATTTGTGGATCGGAAACCAATCACAAGAAGAAAAAAATACACGGTTCGAATTACGTAAAACAAAGTTTAAAGAAAGTAAAGAAATATAAAAGATGTGACCGTAAGATTAGTATCAGTTGATGTCGGCGTCGTCGAAATCGTCTTCGAAGGAGTTAAAGAAATCGGAATCGGTCAAGCGGTGGTGATCCAAGGCGGCGATAGGACCTTCTCCGAATATATCGAGTGCTTCGACGTCGTCGACGTCCATAGCCACCGTTGATGCTTGTTCTTCCATCTCTCCGAACAATTCCACTGGCATTGGTTTCATTTTCTCTCTCCAGAAAGTTCGTGTCGAAGAAAAAGGAAGGTGCACTTGAAATTTCCTTTATATATGCCTTAATGCCGATTGTAATTTTCCCAAATAGCCCCTCTATATTTCTTCCTTTTCTTTTCGAATTTTGTTGAATTAAATATTTTTTTTTTCAAATCTTGGTTTATAAAACATAATTAGAAAATCATTTGATTAATTTAAAAATTTTGCAAAATAATTTTATATTTATTAAAAAACAATTTAATAATATCAATATCTTTTTTATATGATTCAAATAGGGTTAACTAGGAATGAAGTGGTGAACATGGACATGTACTCGATTAATTTGACAGAATCCGAAATCAGAGAGTCAGTCAAACCGGTTATTAAACTTTTGGAACTATTTCGTTCTAGTTAAGATACCAAATACCCGAAATAACTACTAATTACAATCCACAATGTAGCATCTCTCCCAGCAAAAGGAAAAAGAAAGCAAAAAACAATAACTTTTGAACAACAAAAAGATGTTAAGATGTTAAATCGTTTTAAACTTCAAAATTATATAGTGGTATTTAACAAAACAAAATCTCTAACGTATCAAATCACTTATAATGAATATGTTTAAGTTTAACTATCGGTATATATTATATACTGCTATTTGACAAAACAAAGTCTCACCATATCAAATCATAATCATTTTTTGTTTATCCATTAGATGTGTGTGGAAGATATGAAAGTATTTATAGAGGGTGGAAGAGATTTTTAAAATTTTTGAATTTTATCAAAAACCTTAACTGCTAGTTTTTTTTTTAAATGGTTGAGTTTGTATTGAGCTAAAAAAAATGGTTGAAAAAATTGAATTTGTAGGTTAAATTGGTAATATTTATTAAAAAAAAAAAAAAAGTCGTTACCTCTCTCTCACCTCGGCAATCAAATGCGGTTTGAACCCAATGATCTCGGCATGCTACTGCCGGGGTGACAGTGTATGCCACCTATGCCGAGCAAAACACCACGCCACTCCCCTTGGCCTTACCAAAAGAGACAATTATCCATATAAAAAGGTGCATAACTATATTTTTGTCCTCTTGCAATGAGAACTTAATAGTTTTTTTCTTAACAACAAATCTAATCTACTCTTAAACTACTCATAATTCAAGTTATGTTCTAAACGTGACTTGAACTCTCGACCTCAAAAAGAAAATACAAACACCTGGTAAGCTTTGACTGGCCTGCCTTCGGGCCAAAGTTAGTCTTTTGAACTTTTTCATGTTTTATAAGTAATAGCAACATTTTTATATTGGTTTGTTTAGTATATCATTCTACATCACATGTTTGATCTTCTACAATAACTAAATACTCCATTTAATTAACAACTAGCTCATAACAAGAGTTTCACTTCATTTTATTTTTCAGATTTCTTTCAAAACTATACAGATTTGAATCTTGAACAAGTAAGCAACAGTCAAAATGAATGTTTAATCGAGTTTCAATTTACATTAACTACAAGTCTTTAATTTATCATCTTGAAAATAATCCAACTTTGTTTAGAAAACATCCAGATGCCGGGTCCCCTATGCACCCACAAAAACCATCATCGTTCTTTGGAAATGATGCTGGCAATGGATGATCAGGTGTTATCCCCACCTACATTGGTCAACACCAATACAAAAAAGTCAAACATACATACATACATACATACATAGAAAGAGAGAAAAAAAGAACCTTATTGATGTCAATGTGATCAGGGGTTTCATAACGAGCAACAGTAACAGCTAAGCCAGACCCATCAGAGAGTTCAAAAACCGATTGTATTTTTCTGTAAATTAAAAATATATAAATATATTTGACTCTTTTAAAGAGTAGAAAACATTAAATGAAAAATTACTTTATTACCCTTTGCCAAAAGTAGGTTCCCCAAGAAGCACTGCACGCTTGTTATCCTTCAATGCCCCAGCCAATATCTCACTTGCACTTGCAGTTCCTTTGTTCACCTAAAAACACACAAAAAGACTTAATTTTCATTTTGACTTTTTCCAAATTTGCCCTTGTTGATTATTAAAATTATTAGCATTACCAAAACAGCAAGAGGCTCTGAAGCTGCTATTGCATTTGTTCCATCAGTGTCATATATATCTCTAACCCCACGACTATCGCATATGTACACAATCACACCCTTGTTCAACCTGTTTCATATAATTTTAAAAATTTAAAAATAAATAAAAAAAGAAAAAATCTTTTTTAGTTCTTAACAGAGAAAGTCAGGAGAACAAAAAGGCTTACCAAATTCTAGCAATTTCAATTCCTTCAGGAAAAAGACCACCACTGCATCAAATTTTTTATCATCTTTTTAGAAAGTGTTACAAAAATGAAGCCCAAAAAAACTAATTTTTATTTTTTTATAAAATATTATTACCTATTGTTGCGAAGGTCCAAGACAAATGCATCAACATTGTCTCTTCTTAAAGTCTCAATTGCTTCCTTCACAGCAGCTAGAAAGAGTAATTTGTTACAAGTTAGAAGCAATTTTTCTTTAATGTGCATTTTTTTTCCCTAAAAATGCCTAAAAATTAATATAGTAAAAGAATTACTTATAAAATATTACCAGAAGCATTTTGGTTGAATGATGTTAATTTGATGTATCCAATCTTTGAGGTACCCTTCCCCCATGCCAGGTGTCTCACACACTCTTGACCTCACTGGATTTAGTGAAATGTTTTCCCTCCTTCATATCACATAATTTTAATCTCAATACACATTTTTTGTTATAAATTTATAATTTAAATTAAAGAAAGAAAGAAAAATGATATATACGTTAAAGATAATTGCTTTATCTCAGGCCCACTTTGTATCTTTAACTGTACTTCACTTCCTTCAGCCCCCCTGCAAATTAGTTAGATTTTTTATAACTAACTTCAAGATTTTAAATTTTAAATTTTTAATATCTATTTCTTTATTTGAAAATGTTAAAGTATATATATAAGTATATAACTTACTGTAAGCGTTCAGCTGCATCATAAATATCCATTGTTTCTGTACTAAAATCATCAATGGCTAGAATTAAATCACCAGGGGCAATGGAAGCCCGACTTGCGGGCCCACCTGGAGAAGCTGAAATAACCATAAGTCCAGAAAGAGCTCCATCATTTCCAGTTGGGTACCCAATTGACAATCCTACCCCTATAAGTGCACCTTGTGTTCCTGACTGCCTTCATAAAACATATTTGTTTAAAAAAAAAAGTAAATCTCATTGAAATATAGTCAGCTTCATTTTCAATTTTTCATACCCTTAAACTTTTAAACTTTTCAGGCTCTAAAAAACGGGTGAAAGGGTCATCTAAGGTGGCAAGCATCTTCTTTATTGCTGCATCTGAATGTCAAAATAGAAACAATTTTTAGAGAATTGTTATTAGTAAAGAAAATGAAAGAAATGTGAAAGAATGAAGTTTTACATGTTTGTTCACGATTGTTCATTGGTTCATTTCTCAGTGCATTTTCTCTATACCTAAACCAGCTTTGACCATTGAAGCTTTTGTCAACATATGCACGATCAATTGTTCTCCATGCCTCAAGGAACAAAAGATTCTCCTCAGTGAGTGCCCCTACATATCAACTCAGAATAAAATTGGAGATCTTCATACCTTGAAGAGAAATTTTAAAGATCAAAAACTTACAGGAAGGAGATTTGCTAACAGGAATAGTAATTGCCATAAAGATCATCATTCCCAAGACAATTCGGACAAATAGAACAGGAAACAAATCTTTAAGTTTCTCAGAACTCTTAACTAGTTTCCGAAGGTTGATAGTATGATTCCTTAACTTTGTTAATAATCTTCCATTCCTCCTAAAAAGCACAACATGTTGGAATGCGAATCTTTTGTTGAACCTTCTTATCAACCAGAAGAAACTTCCGTTCTGATGCTTGTTAGGATTGAAAGCTCCTAATCTATTGCTAGCATTTAAGCTTACACATGATATCGAGTTACAAATTTGAGGTTTTACGGAGCTAACAAGTAATGAATTCCATGGAAGCATCTGTAGAAAAAATACATCCAAAAACGTGAACAATAGTATAACTGTGTAATTTCATCGCCATTCCATGATCATTTCACATTTTACAACTTTATTTACTCGATTTACACACAACTTATACTTTCCAGTAACAATTAGTGACTGCTAGAGATAAACCGATTGAAGTATAGAAAAAGGCGACAATGTAATCTAGGTCAAGTTCATGTGTTGAATGTAGTAGTAAATTAAAACAAAATTAGAAGAATTATATACCTGATTACAATGAAATTGTGAAAATAGAACTAATAAAAAGAAAAACTGAGGATGAGCTCATACCTTAGGAGCGAAGCAGAGATTGTTGCGGGAGGAGACGAATACGGAGACGGAAGAGGAGCTACATATCACTTCCATTTGACTCCCACCAAAGTGGATGGGGTTTCGAATTCTTTCCCATTTTTATATGTGGACTCGTATGAAACCACTTAACCAACTTATTATTTCTTTTCATTTTTTTATTATTTTTTTAGGAACAGACGAATAAAATATATTGAAACAAAAGAAAAAAAAAATGCACCCCATCTAACAAGAAGCTAGATGAATGCAGAGTACAAGAGGGCAAACAACAAAAATCGAACAAATTACAATTGAATAAACAGGTTAACACCCCAGTCAATCCATTTTAGATCTCCAATACCACTCGTGTGTTTAACCCAAATAAATGTTAACGACTTGATTGTGTCAGCTACCTCCGCGGGGGCCACCTTTTTATTGTTGAATAGTTGATCATTCCGTGATCTCCAAATGCACCATAGGGTTCCATAACATATTCCTAATAGTCGGTTCTTTTTCTTGGGACAGTTTCCCCAGCTCGAAGCAAAGTCAAGCATGGCATGGATCGTTTGAAAATGCACCGTTGGAATGTTACACCGCCTTAAGATCCAATCTAGAACTGATTTGGCGAATGAGCAACTTACTAGCACGTGATCCACACTTTCGTCCGCCATTCCACAATACTTACAAATTTTTGAACCACGATTGGATAGCGCCTCCACCGAAGTGATGCGACCCATTTTCGCTCGCCAGATGAAACAGACAATTTTAATGGGGATATCTTTAACCCAAGTAAACTTGCCCAAGTCAACTAGTTGATGGTTCTCCAATCTGTTCCTGAGAGCACAGGTTGCATAACGCCCGTCTGAAGTTAGTTCACAGATCCATGAAGACCCGTAAGGTGTCGATTTTCTGGTGAGGACTTGATTTACTGAAATGTCTTGCTTTATTAACTCTTTACTCACGTTTGCAATGTTGTTCCAGACCCCGGGTAATGCTTTATTAGAAAGACAATTTTCAGCTCTAGCACTTAACCTGTGAATTCCAGTAATCACTTTAGCCTAAAGTGAGTGAGGTAGGGCTCTGCTTGAGACGCCGCCACCATTTCACTATTAGAGAGATGTTGAACGATTTGAGAGTAATCACTCCCAGTACACCCAATTCTTTAGGTGTTGTACTTTCTCCCATGAAGTCCAATGGATTTTCTTGTTCGATTCATCCCCACCTCCCCACAAGAAGTGTCTTCTAGTTTTTTCCATTGCTTAAGTGGGGAGATTCCCTAAAACCGATTTCAACAATGTTAGCCTCTCGCCAAACGAGAGAGATTTGGACTTCCATACTGTAAGCTTGGATGTGAATTTATCTATAACAGGCTTCCAGTTCTTCACTAGTTTCATGTTAGCACCAATGGGGACGCCAAGATAGTTAAACGGAAAGGAAGAAGGTTCACATCCAAGAGGTTCAGCCCATCTGGAAATCTCTTGTTGAGTTACTCCCACACCGAATACTTTAGATTTATTAAAATTAACTTTAAGGCCCGATGAGACGTAAAAACAATGAAGAATTCTTGCCAAATTTTTAATATTCAGTTTTGACAATTTTCCAATGAACAAAGCATCATCTGCATATAGTAGATGCGAGATCAAAGGGCCTCCGTATGGTAATTGAAGACCATGGAATACTCCTATTTCACAAATGGATCGCATAGCTACACTTAAACCTTCCATAACGATGATGAATAAAAACGGGGAAAGCAGGTCACCTTGTCGTACACCTTTGGACATTGGAAACTCTTTATTGGGATTCCCGTTAACAAGGACTGAAGCTTTTGAAGACTCGAGACAACATTTGATCCACATGCGCCATTTTTCACCAAAACCCATCTGCATAAAGTTTGAGTCCAAAAATTCTTAGTTTACGAAGTCGAAGGCTGTCACACCCCAAAACCAAGAACGGCAGAAACGTTCTGGGGCGGAGGACGTCATGTAAAGTATCACAACAATGCAAAGTAGTAAACAAGCAACAACATCATCCATTGCATTAATATTAGAATTTTAATACATGTGTGGTCTTTCATAATCTATGGCATGATAATAAGAAATTGAAATAAAAGACAAGTCTTGACCGCTCCGTCTTCTCAAAGCCTGATCATCGTACCTGTCTACTGGTGACCTGAGAATACAAGTTATTTTGAAAGCGAGTATCAGCTTCAAAGTTGGTGAGAACATAAGTATTTTAGTGTCATTGCTTTGTAAAACTATAAAGAGAAGATTTATAATTGTTTATGAAAACTTGGTATAAGTATGATAAACCCTAGAAAATCCCATGTTTCCTACTAGTATAAAAAGCAGTCTTCTACCAAGACCCGACTGTTTTGAATATTTGCACTTCTATAAAAAGTAGGTTTTTCCCCCTAATATAACTATTACTATTCAGAAGTAGCTATATTAAAACGTGTATGTGAATAAAATCACAAAGTAGCTGTAAATAGGGAAAATACTATTTTGCCTCAGCAGTGACACTGTTGGCTATAAAGTGAATAAAAAAAACATAGACTCCAGGTGGTATCGAATGGACAATACACCTCGAAAAGTCTGAATGAAAGTAGGGTAGACTCCAGGTGGTATCGATTGAACAATACGCCTCGAAAAGTCTATTTTGACCTTTAATTCTTAATTGGATAAATAAAGGGTTGAATGTGAACTCGTAGGTAACCATGCTGATTGACGATCGAACATCTGATGACCCTCCAGGTCACACGTAGTATGGTGACATTTTGTCACCCCTGGGCCTAGTCGGCTCGGACTGTAGCTAGCAGTCGGGATGTGGGAGTGTCTGTCCCGTATAGATCTATACACATAATGTCCGCTCTCCCTCCAGGAGACTCTGGTTACAAGGTGATACCACTAAGAAGTGTCGTATCGAGAAGTAGTATGTCACATTCTATTTAAAGTATTTAAAATAATTGTATAGACTCATGAATGAACTGACTCTGGTACGATTCCTTGTACTAGAAGTAGTAAATAGTATCTCCTAACTATACCCATAATAGTTACTAGTAATATATGTATATGAATAATGGAAGTATACTTTTGCTACCCAAAGGTACTGAACTGACTGATAGAACTTTTATGTCTATATATGTATACATAATATATAACTAATATTTAGACGACCTTCGGACAAATAGCCGATGCCCTAAGGCCACATCCAAACAAGGAAAAGGAATTAAAGCGAGCTAGTAGTCCTAAGTCCTTTAAACATTACTTATATAACTATACATATAGAGGCATGCATTTGATAATATAAAAGTTTAAAAGAAGTTTTGTAAAACATTAGAAAAGTTTAATAACAAGAATTTATGACTTGATGTCAATTTATAAAACGATTTAAAAGCAGTTGTTTGATATAAACAGTTTAAAGTATAAGAAATCCCTTATTGGGAACATAGTTTGAAGTTCATGAAAACCTTTGTTTGAAACATCGATATAACAGGATTTGAAAAGAAAAGTGTAGTTTAGAAAACAAGTTTGATAAAGAGTTTAACGTGTAAATACATTCGAGGAAATCATTTTGAAGTAGTTTACTTGATAAAACAGCTAAAAGTGTAGTAAATTCATAGCTTGATAGTTATTAATCACATGCGATTGATATGATAACTATCATGATTCAACTTGTATCCCCCCCCCCCATAAAAGCATTTAAAAACATTTAAAAGGTTAATTAAGGGGTATGAACTCACCTGAAGTGGGTGATTCGGATGAACGGATGGTATAGGATGCTAAGTGTCAAGTGAGGACTTGAACACACACGCGGATCCTATTTAACATGTAATGATACATTTAAGTATCTAATTAGTCATTTAATAACTAATTATGCAAGTAAAAACATCCTAATACATGAAAACACTTTGCTACAAGTGCTAGGAGTACTAAGGGTTGCATCTAAAGAGAGTATGACCTCACATTGGAGTTTACTCCCCATATGGTAGCACCATATGGGTTTACGGTTCTGGGACCATTCCCCTCATGAGTTTACGGCCGTAAACTCATGGTAATGGTACCATGGGGTGTTTTAAGGTCTTATACCACACAAGGAAGTAAGTTAGACTTGAATCAAAGGCTTAGGAAGTGGCTAGGGCTCGAAATGGTTCACCAACGGAGTTTACGGTCCTTGGACCACTCTTGGGAGTTTACGGTCGTAAACACTAGGGTTTACGGTCGTAAACCCATGAGTTTACGGCCGTAAACTCATGTATTCCTCAACATTTTGTGTTTTGATGTTTCTAGCTCATGCATGCGAGGTTCAAGTCCTTTTTACAAGCATTAGAAGGTGTTAGGGGCACCAAAACACCATTTGAAGGTGTTTACGGTTCTGGGAGATCTCCTTGAACCGTAAACACATATGTTCTTGGGGATTTTCATGTTCTTTCCATGGATTAACAAGCACACTAAGCAAGTAACTAGTTAGGAAGAGTGTACTTACTTATAGGAGGCTTGTAAGAGTGTTTAGGACCCAAGAACACTAGTGTGTGTTCTTGGTGTTTTGAAGAACACTTGAAGATCTAAGTAAAAATCAAGAATCCATGGATGAAATGATGTATAAACACTAGATTAAGTGTTGTATGAACGAATCTAGGAAGGAAAACACTTACATTTTGGCGGATTTAAAGAAGTGTGTGATGATACTTGAGAGAAAAGTGGTGGGTGTTCTTGAACTTGAAGGTGTAAAGTGAGGAAGTGAGGGAATAAGGGTAAACTCATGCCTTAAGCACGAGTTCATGGTCAAGAGGGAGTTTACGGCCCAAACTCCCCAAGTTTGGCCGTAAACACCTAGCTAAGGTGTTAAAATGTTAAATTGCTACACTTCACTTATAACGATACTTCCTTTTATTTATTCGTTTGACGAAAATAAAATAAAACACCCAAACGGACTTTATACCGGCTAAAATTTAGCAGAAAAGTATTTGACTTTTATTTGAAGTGTTTGACTGTAGAGTTTACGCGAATGAAAATTTCGGGTTGTCACAAAGGCTTTGTCAAAGTCAGCTTTAAACAACAAAACTTTTTTTTTTTGACTTTTTTGCCCATGAAC